CGGATATGTGGATCGGGCGCGTGGCTGCCAGGTCCACGGATCAGGGAAGGTACCCCCGAAGCATGTCGCCAAAGCCTCCTCTTGAGGAAGAAAAAACGGCAAAAACATAAACGTTTGGAGGTGGGCGCGGATTTCTTGAATCGGTGCTGGCCCCCCATTCCCTGGCGCGCGGAACGCGCCAGGGGCGGCGCGAGAGGCACCGCCGGGGGGGCCCAACGCCGATCCAAAAAATGTGCGCGGACCGTCGGAAATCCATGTTTCTGCAAGTTGTTACTCTTCGAGGCACCCCCGAAACACGTCGCCAGAGCCTAATCTGGCGACGGAGCGCGCCGTCTCTGCACAGGAAGCGGGACCTGCCGCTAACACCCGCGCGCCTTAGAATTCGTGCTTGCGATTCCACGGGTTAGATGGACAGCGAAGGCTGGCAGCCTCCCACTCCTCCTCCCTGTGGCATGGCAGGGAGATCACAACTCCGTACTCCTCCTGGATGTTCGACTGGACAGCAGAAGAAACAACGCCACAAGCATAAGCTGTTGGCGCTCCGCGCGGATTTCTTGGATCCGCACTGGGCCCCCCTGGCAGCGCCTCCAGCGCCGCCTCTGGGTCGCGACAAAAACAGTTTATGCTGGTTGTTCCTCTTCCAATCTCGGATACATGCACACCATGGGGGGGCACCCCTCCTCGATAGGGGGCACGTCCGGTAAGCCCCCCTCGGGGGGGGATCCCCGAGCTTCCACCTTTTTGTTATATCTTTATATCGGCACAATATATGGGGTAACACTCTGCGCTTGGCTGCCGTGACGCAGGCGGGTCCTTTGCGGAGAGCCCAGGCCGCCCCCCGGGGGCCACAGGGAACCCACCAAGGGACGCACACGCCCGACCATGCACAAGAGCACGGCCCCTCGATCCGCGAGACCGGCCGCGTGATGCGGACATTCACGCAACGCGTACTCTCGAAACCAGCGTGGATTCCTGTTCGTGCACGTCCTCTTGTCGCTCTTGAAGTCTCAATTCTGGCATGTCTACTGCCGGGGGAGGGAGGGGGGCCGGGAACGGCCCAGTGTTAAGTCGGGCCTGTCCCCCTACCGGCGGATTTGAGAAAAATTATAAAATAGTAAATGCTCGAAACTGGTCAACAATACTCACAAATCGTCCCCAGACTACCTTTTGACTATTTTGGGAAATTCCTCCTGTAGAGGGACACGCCCGACTTAAGCCCAGTAAGGCCGACGCACGGCGAAACACCTCGGGACCCCTTGCGCTGAGGAGCATCTTCCTTCATGGTACACTGAAAGGCCTTCCAAATGGGGTCCGAGCGGGTGGGGTCGGAAAATCGCGACGCATCGCCGATGCACCGCCGATCCATCGCGTCGCTGGTGCATCGGCGACGTCCGCGATGCGTCGGCATCGTCTGCGTGGAGAAAATCGGGCTCCACCTCGAGCCGCATCGCCAACGCATCGGCGATGTGGCGTGATCTCCCGACCCTGGATGCTTCGGCACCATCTCGAGGCCCTGGAGATTCCTTGTTGTTCCTGTTCTAGGTGTTTCTGTTGTTTGTTATTTGTTATCTGGAGGGCCTGGAGAATTGGGGGCGAACTGCGACCCTCCTCCTCCTTTCCCCTCCCTTGAGCAGGGGCCGACCGTCAGGGCACTCCTCTATGCCTGCCACGAAAGGTATTTTCTAGAACCTCTGGGTGCTCCGAGAACGCAAGCAAGAATAGTGCTCTTGGAACACAGAGGCGATGTGATCAAGCAAGGCTGCCCCAGCCAGACATGTTCGGAGGCCTCCCAAGTGGGGTCTGGGTAGATGGGGTCGGAGGATCGCCCCGCATCGCCGATACGTCATCGGCGATGTACCGGCAATGCATCGTCGACGTCGGCGACGTATCGGCGACGTCGACGTGAAGCACATCGGGCTCCACATCGAGCCGCATCGGCGCGATCCTCCGACCCCATCTACTCGGACCCCCTGTAGGAAGCTAATAATCAGACAAGGCTGCCCCAACCAGACATGCTATACTAGCATCTTCCGTGTGCAGCTCACAGCACGTTCCTCTTGGAGCAGCGGAATGTCCCATGGGCGCCAGCCCTGCCGCCTGCCCCACGCCCGCCAGCCCTCCCGCCTGCCCCACGCCCGCCAGCCCTCCCGTCGGTACTGAAAGCCCCCTCCTCAGAACCCTCCTCCTCCTCCTCCTCCTCCTCCTCCTCCTCGTTCTCCTCCTCCTCCTCCTCCTCGTCCTCCTCCTCCTCCTCCTCCTCCGCCCTCCTCCCTCGCCCCGGCCGGCCTTGTTGCCCCGCAGCAGGCGCAGGAAGCTCTTCCCGGGCGTGCAGCGGGACAGGCCCCCGTGGACCTGCGGCCAGGCGGTGCGCGCGCCGCGTGCGGCACCGGGGCCGGGGGAGTCGGGCTGCGACTCCTTCCTCCTCCTCCTCCTCCTCCTCCTCCTCCTCCTCCTCCTCCTCCTCCTCCCGTTCGAGGGGCTGTCGGGACACGCTTGCAGGAGGAGCTCGACCACGAGAAGCCTCACACAAGAAGCCCAACCCTGAGACGCCAGGGCGTCCATGGATGTCTGGTGTGGGAACGACGCGCTCTCCATGGCCAAACCATCGACGCCCACGATACCCTGGGCACCCTGGAGGCAAGCAGGGTGTTTCTTGGCATGGGCTTCCACTGTACGAAGGCCCATCTAGCCGCATTGGGCTGGAGTAAGCCCGTGACGAGCCTGGATTTGTTCGGCGGGATTCAGCGGAGTGGGAAGGGATCATGACGGATTCGAACGGGTTTTGGCCACAGATATGCCGACGCCGATGCACAAAAACCGCACGGGCTGCATCCCAAAATGACCCAGACGCCACATACGTGACGAAAACAAGCGGGTCTTACCCGAGATGGCACAGCGACCTTGCGCCGCGGCCCACGCGGGCCGTCAGCGCGGCACGCTGCGCTGGAAACTAGGGCGTTCACGCTCGACCTTACGCGGACAACTTGCGCGAGGATGTCGGCGCAGTCGACCCCATGATCTTCGTCGCTCACATTTTTGGACGCACATTGGCCCAACAACCAATGTTGTCCCAAACCTGCAGTGACCGCTGTTGGGCTGGCGGCCTTCTGTCTCAGATGGGCACAGTCCGCGACAACGCCGACAGCAAGTCCTGCCCAACACGAGCAAGAACTGCTCTTCTGCCTTTGTACTTCGCACAAATAATTCGCATATCGCCAAATGGCTCCCGTATCTGCAAGACTGGAATCAATTGGCAAAAATTATGCTCAGATTATATTGTCGTGCATCTTGTACGGGATTATTGTTCAGTAGAGGTCCCAAGTTACGCCATGGTGATGTGAAACGTTAGCGAGGCCTCAGTAAAGGTCAAAGTCGCTCTGGGCATGGTAGCGAGCAGTTCAGGACTGGTGCGGTAGACTGCCTCCTGCATTAACTCGACACCTAGACCGATCGCAATGAGCACCAATGCGCATAGTATGGCGCTGATCTTCAGGTAATTGACTACTCGAGGCGACACGAGGTTGCTTCTCTATACGTCGAGACCAACGCGTGCGGTGGACAACTCAACTCGCCCGTCTAACCACCTTGTCAGATCCTGGCACAACAAACACGTTTCTGCGGATGACGCGGCGAGAAACCATGTACGCGGTTACGTGCTAACAGACACGTCACATCACAACATACGTCTTCTTCACTGCGGAGATGCGCGTACAGGCGACCGCGAGCCTGCTCAAATCAGATGTGTGCTCCCGGCCATCTGGACAGCAGGAGCTGCATGGAATCGAGCCTGTCGGTGCTCCGCCCAATCTCGCTCACGCTCGCTCTCCCCTCCACTTCTCTGCCTCTTCCTCGTCCTCTCTCTCTCTCTCTCTCTCCCTCTCTCGCCCTCCATCCCTCTCCGTCCCCCTATCATATTTCGTTGTTGTTTTGTTATCTCTCTCTCTATATATATATATATATGTAAGCACGTCTATACGTATATACATCTCTCTCTCTCTCTCGCTCTTCCTCTGGGTCTGTCCTCGCGCCCTCCGCCCTCCGCCGACGGGACTCCCGCACGTGGCAACCTCACGGCAGGGACAAACACTGCTCGACGTACGCACCGCGCTCTGGGCCCTCCTCGGGGATCTTCTGACCCGGGTCAGTCCAGACCCGGAATTGTCCATCGGGCTCGAGCCAGGTCGGCGAGGGCCCTGTCGCGAGGCCGCTTAGTATTAAGCTCGGCGTGTCCCCCTACACGGGGACCTTCGACGAAAAATCAAAAAATACGCAACAAATGCGCCCAAATGGTCGAAACATGCTCAACACATAGACCCCATATTATTTCTTTGACTATTTTTGAACATTCCCCCCGTAGAGGGACAGGCCCGACTTAAGCGTAGTATAGCTCCAACACCCGGGTCAGCGGAGGGCGAAGACGAGGCGAAAGCGGCCCCGCGTGGCTCCCGAACACAGGTCAGCCAGGAGGGGGCACGGGCCGACCCTCGGCGGCGCCGAGAGTCCCGCTGCGTGGAGCCGCGACACGGCGAGAGCCCTGACCCCCCAAAGACACTGGGCAGGAACTGCCGCCGCTGGCCCCGCGTCCCCGCTCTTGACCTAGAGGCCTCCTAGATGGGCTCCGAGCAGATGCGATCGGAGTATCGCACCGCATCGCCGATACATCGGCGATGCATCGCCGATGCATCAGCGATGCACCAAGGTCGGGGATCTTCTGACCTGGGTCAATCCAGACCCGGGTCAGCAGGAAACCAAAAAGCTGCAATGCAGGGACAACAAAAAACTGCAGCGCAGGGCTTCGCAAACCCGGGTCAGCCAATATGCGCGGCCGCCTCGCGGCCACGAGCGGCTCGCTAACCCGAGTCAGCCAGAGGGGTCTTCGCAGGATCCTGCAGGATCTGGTACCCTGGCTGACCCCCCTTTGCTTTGACCCCGTCTCGAGGCTCCCGACCTCCCTTCGTCCTGACCCCGCCGGCTGCGGCGGGCAACTTTAAGCGGCAGGCCACGAAGATCTGATTGTCCACGATGCCCGCCAGCGGCAAGAGGGCGAAAACGCGACCTCAGCAAGGTCCGCGCCATCCCCAGCTGAACACATGCCTGCCAGCGTGGTCCCCCAATCGACCGACGCGAGCCCTCGCCTCGCAGGGCACCCTTCCGCCCGAGGACTAAAACCCCTTGGGTGGAAGATCTCCCCAACCCCACCAAACTGTCCGCCAGATTCCAAATGACGAACCGACAACGTGTGCCAGAAGAGTTGGTAAAACGCGGCCCTCAGCTGGATGTCAAAAGCAAATCTACGGGCTGGCGTCTTACAAGTAGCCCTCCGGCGAAGGTACCAGACATGAACTCCCACCCTCTTTGCGAAGCGAAGCGCCCACATGCCCCCAGGACCACTAGGAGGCCTGAAAGAGGATGTCAAGAGGCCCCTTCTACATGACCTGGTCACGAAGATGGGATGGGCCGATGAACACTAGATAGAATCGCTGCGTGGAGAAATAGTGCATACCGCGTGTGCAGCGGTGGCTATTTGGATGCTTACATTGTTTCTGCTTTGTCGCTAATTTGATCGGAGTAAAGATTGGACGCTTACTTTTTGCATTGGCGTGTTGCATCGGCTTGCGTTGCAAAGCATAGCGATGGGGCACTTTGTTTGATCTGGCCATTGCATTGCATTGATATTGTCGTGGTGCCCCCATGTCAATTGATGTCGCATTGATTCACATGTTGCTGCCTAAAAATGTGTGTTATATTTGGAAGCCTACCTGTCATTAATCAAGCACGGACTGGTGATGGGGTCGTTCTCACTTAAACGGATGTTGGGCCAACACTCGACTGCGACAACGAGGGCCACGAGTGATAATCACGACTGGTAAGTGCTACGACTGCTGCGACACATACTGCTACGACGGCACGACGGCAGCTCGGAAACACTACGGTTACTTGCGCAAATATGTTGCACGCCCGACAAGGGTGCGGAAAAGGCAATTATGAGACCCAACAACAGGTGTTGACCATCGCCGACAACGGCAGCTGTTGGGCAGGTGGCTGTGCTTCAGAACTTCTGCCGGCCTTTGTCCACATGTTTTCCGTAAACGCTTCGGCCATGCCGACCTGTGGACTCAACCTCAACTCCCCAGGAATACTGCCTGTGAGTGTCGATGGGGCAACGAAGGAGCGGGAACTAACGGTGTCCAGAGGG